GCGTCGTCGTGCCCCAAATTCCCTTTTGGGGAGGACCTGTGCTGTCTTGTAGGCTAAAAGCAGGGAAAATATCCAGGGGTCATTTCCTGCAGGAGCGCACAGGAGCGGAGCTCCGGCAGTAAAGAGCCCAGGGGCGGGCACATGCAACAAGCCCCGCCCCCTGCTCCCAGCAGCCCTCAGTCAGAGCAAGAAGCAGCCAGGTAAGTTGCAGAGCTCCTCCCCCTGCTCCCTGGTCCAAAACAGTCCAGTGGCACCTTTAAGACCAAGTTTTAATCAGGTACAAGCTCTCCCTCCTCTGCGAGGGCAGATCTCCAGTGGCACCTTTAAGACCAGGTTTTACTCAGGTACAAGCTCTCCCTCCGCGCGGAGGGCAGATCGGCACGCCCCCCCCCCCAATAGCTAGCAATCCAAAACAGTCCAGTGGAGCCTGAGCGGTGGGTGTTGCCTTCTGACACACTTCCGGTGATGTCAGGGGGTGTGGCCTATGCAAATGAGTTATGCTAGTGAGCTCCTGCACCTCCTTTTCGACGAAATGACCCCTGAAAATATCTAACGCTATGTCCCAGAGGCAGCTGCAAGGAGGGGGCGCAGCACAGACTGCGAGGACTTGGCTGTGCCTTTAAGGACCAGCACACCTTTGAGACCGCCTCTCCCCATATGAGCCCCGTAGAGCACTGAGGTCCACCAATCAACACCTTTTTGGTGGTCCCCAGCCCCAGGGACCTCCGGCTAGCCTCGACCAGGGCCAGGGCTTTTTCGGCCCTGGCCCCTGCCTGGTGGAATGAGCTCCTGAGTGAGTCCAGGGCCCTGCGGGATTTATTACAATTCTGCAGGGCCTGCGAGACGAAGCTCTTCCACCGGGCTCTTGGTTGAGGCAGCGGGCGTCCTCCTCCTGGGGTCGGCCCCCACTTATAGCCTGGGTTGGCCCCCATTTATAGCCTGGGTCAGAGACCCCAAACTTTATCAACCACAGAAGTATCTGGCTTCTACTAGAGTTGCATGTTTCACGTGTTTTAACACGGTTTTAATTGTATTGAATTTTGAAACTCAGTAGTTCAGCAGTTCGAGACCCGAGTTGCTGCATGACGGAGTGAGCTCCCGTTTCTAGTTCCAGCTCCTGCCAACCTAGCAGTTCGAAAGCAAGAAATTGCAAGTAGAGAAATAGGTACCACTTCGGTGGGAAGGTAACAGTGTTCCGGGCGCCTTGGTGTTTAGTCATGCCGGCCACATGACCATGGAAACGTCTTCGGACAATGCTGGCTCTTCGGCTTTGAAACGGAGATGAGCACCGCAACCCTAGAGTCGGATTCGACTGGCTTTCGAGCAAGGGAGACCTTTACCTTTACCTTACTGTGTGTACATTGTTGGAAGCCTCAAGGGGAGGGGGGGATACAAATCCAATAAACAAACAAACAAACAAACAAGGTTTTGAGTGACTGACAGGTCTCTCTTAGGCCCCGCCCCCTCCAGATGGGGTTGTAGAGGGTTCCTATCCCTCCCTCCCATCCCACTCCAAAGCAATGCAACTTCTGTATTTTGGGGTAAGCTGGACGGCGGCCAAAGCTGCACTGCTTTCGAGCAGAACGGGAAGGAACAAAACTAATTCTCTACCTAATAGAGTGAAAGGGAAAAGCCATTCCATTTGGGAGAATTTAAAAAAGGGATTATTGCATTATATAAAGATTGAACGTGTGGGTTTAATCCGAGCAGTCTCTGAGAGAGAAAAATGTGCTCAGCGCCACGATCTATGTGCATCTCTTTGACCGAGGAAGTACGGCATGACTCCGAAACCGTTGTTTGCTGGAGTTTTTTTCCCACTGGAGCCCAAAATATGTTTGTAGAGAGATTCTGGCAGTATCTGAAGAAGCGATTCGTGACTCCTGAAAAAGCTCCTTCCCTGCCACGGATTTTGTTAGTCTTTAACGTGCTGCTGGATTCGTGCTCTTTTCTACTGCTACAGACAGAGTAACATGGCTACCAGAGGTCCCTCTAGGCTGCGGAGTCTTGTGAGCAAAAAATTCCACTTTGTGAGCTACTGGCATTAAAGTTGTGAGCGAGCAATTCGGCTGCTGCATAAATTAGTTTGCTCTGGAGCCCATCCTTCCTGAGCTAAGACAAAAATGTGTGAGCCGGAGGCTAAAAAACTGTGAGCTCGCTCACACTAACTCAGCTTAGAGGGAGCACGGATGGCTACCCATCTTGATCTATGTACAGAGATGGGTTACAGACAGAAACAAAATGGGTTAAGGAAAAAAGAAAATATAGATCACTGGACAGACCTGTATCTGGACTGTTTGAATCCTTCAGTTCAGGCTGTGAGTGCCACACTTATATGGTGAATCATTCTATTCTATTCTATTCTATTCTATTCTATTCTATTCTATTCTATTCTATTCTATTCTATTCTATTCTATTCTAGAATCATGGCTCCTGTTCCACACTAACGGCCAAACTAGATGGGACGGCGTCCTCTTGGCTCACTGCCAAAGTTACTTGGAAAAATTATTAGGGACTGCGGTCTATATACTATTGTGTATAGTTTGCTCAAACTAGGCTCCTACTCTGGACTTTTGCATCATTTCATATTTCTGCTTAACTTCCGTTCCGATTTGTAGATTTCTAGTCGGTTCCAGATTTCCACAACCCTAATCCTATTGCAAAGGGGCTGCGGCGGCTCAAGCGGTTAAGACGCTGAACTGTAGACCGGAAGGTCGGTAGTTCGGCAGTTCGAGACCCGAGTGCCGCGTGACGGAGTGAGCTCCCGTCTCTAGCTCTCCTGCCAACCTAGCAGTTCGAAAGCAAGAAACTGCAAGTAGATAAATAGGTGCTGCTTCGGTGGAAGGTAACAGCGTTCCGTGCGCCTCGGCGTTTAGTCATGCTGGCCACATGACCACGGAGAAGTCTTCAGACAGCGCTGGCTCCTTGGCTTGGAAATGGAGATGAGCACCGCAACCCTAGAGTCGGACTCGACTGGCTTTCGAGCAAGGGAACCTTTACCTTTTACCTTGAATCCTATCGCACTGTTTACTGACTGTCCCATCTGTCGATTGTATCGACTCACTCCATGTAATCCCCACACCTTGAGGTCAAGTGAGAAAGGTGGACTATCAATAATGAATTGGTAAATGAATAAATAAATATAAAGTCATTCTACGAATGCTCTGAGGGCTTGATCCTGATTGTGCCTGCAGCACAGGTTCAAATACTCTTAGTGCCATAAAATCACAGAGTTGGAAGGGACCTCCAGGGTCATCTAGTCCAGCCCCCTGCACAATGCAGGAAATTCACAAATACCTCCCCCTTCACACCTCCAGTGACCTCTGTTCCATGCCCAGAAGATGACAAAAACACCCAGGATACCTGGCCAAACTGGCCCCCCACACACACCCTGTGCCTTTTTGAGTGCCAGAAAAGCAGGTGTGTGTGGCCTCGGGACATTTTAAAATTACTTTAGAATGGCAGCAAATGTGCCTTGTAAGCTGTGGAGTCTTGTGAGCAAAAATTCTACTTTGTGAGCTACTGGCACTAAAGTTGAGAGCGAGAATAATAATAATAAGAGATTGGATTTATACCCCGCCCTTCACTACCCAAGGGAGTCTCAGAGCAGCTTATCCCCTCCCCACAACAGACACCCTGTGAGGTTGGTGGGGCTGAGAGAGCTCTGACAGAAACTGCTTTTTTCAAGGACAGTTCTTGTCAGAACTATGGCTTGCCCAAGGTCATCCAGCAGGTGCAAGTGGAGGAGTGGGGAATCAAACCCGGTACTCCCAGATTAGAGTCCATGCACTTAACCCCTACACCCAACTGGCAATTTGGCTCCTGCCTAAATTAGTTTGCTCTGGAGCCGTCCTTCCTGAGCAAAGACAAAAATGAGTGCGCCAGAGGCTAGGAAACTGTGAGCTAGCTCACACCAACTCAGCTTAGAGGTAAACTTGGCGCTGCCAACGTCCTCTTGATGGCCACAAGGATGCCAACATGTTTAGTTCGGCCCATAGTGTCTAGTCCTGAGGAAGGAACGACATTCGGTGAGGTGTCTCCCATTGACACTCTGTCTCTACAGCCTTCAGGGAAAAGAGTCTTGATTGGGCGAAGACGAATTACAACACGGTGGTGGTGGTGAAATAGGGACACCAGTGAAATGTACCTGTTCTCTGGGGCGTTGGTGAGCGACGCCACTATGTTCTGTTCGATGAAGAAAAGCATGGAGAGGAGGAACCCCAGGCCCATGGCACTCATGACGGAGCCGATGGAGAGAGACTGGATGGGTGCCAACGCAAACATGGTCTCCGACGGGTTGTAGTTGAACTTGGACACTGGAAGACAAACACGCAAGAGAGCCTCTTTACAGACACGCATCCGAGGAGGCTCACCCTGGACTGGCCAGGATCTGAACCCAAACCGTCCCACCCAATCGTCCTCTTGGCCTGGAGGCCTTTTAGGATCCTGAGGTGGCTGAGCAAGAACAGCCATCGTTATAAGGAAAAGAGAGATGTGCAAATCCTGTTTCACTGACATTAGAAAGGGCTGTCCAAAGTTCTTCATTTGTAGTTGTTAATTCCAAGGATGCAAGAACGGTGTGTCAACAGGACCTTCTTAGGGGAGGGGCTGTGGCTCAGGGGTAGAGCATCTGCTTGGCATGCAGAAGGTCCCAGGTTCAATCCCTGGCATCTCCAGTTAAAAAGGACCAGGGAGTAGGTGATGTGACAGACCTCTGCCTGAGACCCTGGAGAGCTGTAAAGAGGGGGTGTGGCTCAGTGGTAGAACATCTGCTTGGCACTCAGGTGGTCCCAGGTTCAATCCCCGGCATCTCCAGTTAAAAAGGACCTGACAGTAGGTGATGGGAAAGACCTCCGCCTGAGACCCTGGAGAGCTGCAAGGAGGGGGCTGTGGTTCAGTGGCAGAGCATCTGCTTGGCATGCAGAAGGTCCCAGGTTCAATCCCCAGCATCTCCAGCTAAGGACCAGGCAGTAGGTGATGTGAAAGACCTCTGCCTGAGACCCTGGAGAGCAGCTGCCAGTCTGAGTACAGTGGTGATATTGATAGAGCAAGTGTCATTTAGGGAGGGTCTACAGATCAGTGGCAGAGCATTTCCTTGGCATGCAGAAGGTCTCCAGTTCGATCCCTGGCATCTCCAGTTTATAAAGGGCCAGGTAGTAGCCAATGCTCCCTGTAAGCCATGGAGTCTTAGGAGCAAACATTAGGAGCGACTGGCATTAAAGTTGTGAGAAAGCAATTTGGCTATTGCATAAATTAGTCTGCTGCGGAGCCAAGACAAAAATGTGTGAGCCAGAGGTTAAAAAACTGAGCTAGCTCACACTAACGCAGCTCAGAGGGAACGCTGGTAGTAGCTGATGTGAAAGACCTCCGTGTGATATTCTGGAGAGCTGCTTGCAGTCTGAGTAGACAACACGGACCTCGATAGACCAAGGGACTGATTCAGTAGAAGGCGGATCTGCGTGTTCACACCAAGCAGATGCTCTATTGTTGAGCCATGAGCCCCTCCACTGGAGAGACCATCCCCTTGTTTATCCGTTCAGAGAAAGACCCCCCCCCCAAGCAAGGAGGCCACCTGGTTTGTGTGCGTGTGCCGGAAACAACAGATGCACCGGGAAGACCCACAGCCCGGCTGATGGCTTCAGGGCAAACGCCAGGAGGTAAATCTTTCATCCCTCTGAAGTTCCAAACGTAGGGACTGAAGCATTTCTGAAGCCGTTCCCTTGCAAGCCACACAATGGGATATTTTAGCACCGCACGTAGCCGCGGGTGACCAGGGAGCAATTGTCAGTAAGGGAAGCATCACACCCACGCAACAATTTTTTTTGCCATTTTCCAGCTCTGGATGGGATGGAACGACGG